TTAATGTCTTCATATTTTTCCTTGTACAACAGTGCCTGAATGTTATTCTTGTGACAGTATTTCATATTTCCTTTTTCATGTTACTAGACTCATTAAATGTGTTGACGAAAACTCTTCTCCCTATATCATATTATGTTAATTTTTCTTTAGGAATTGATTTCAATTGTCTTTGTTATGGATCTTGCAACTTCCCTCCCTTTAAGAGTCAGTCATTTGCATATTATGCTCGTCAAGTTAATGAAACTGGGTTCTGAAAATAATGGAGACATAATTTAAACAACTTTCGGCATTTCAGGAGAAAGTAGCCGAGTTTGAAATTTTATTGTGTTAGGTTATTTTAATATTAAATGGTGGTTGTCTATGTCATGTGCGTATACTTGAAACTGAAGATATTGCCTCTAGGCATGTAATTTTTTTTTTTTTGATAACCGTGGATGTCCAGGCCAGCTTGCGCGCACCTCGACTAATTCCACGGGGCCCTGAAGTTTACGGTCGGGTACTCACCTCAGTGCCCTGAGGAGACTCGAACTGGTGACCATTGGGAGCAAACCCAAGGCCTCACCAATTGAGCCACCCCTCAGGGTTATCCTCTAGGCATGTAATAACAGATATACCTCTCCAAAGTTAAGTTTAATTTAGGTGTGTAGTTGTAAATATTAAGCATTTGTCAGAGAGAGCCCCAAAATCATTTCCAACACACATTCTATGGGACATGAAACTTTTCCCTACGTTAACCACACATTATCCAAAAACATCATTTTTCACTTTAAGAAATCTCTCCGAAACAAACCCATATTCTCAATCACTGGCAGAGCAGATGTTTGCCAGTTGACTTATTCCTCACTCCCCAGTGGGTTTATCAGTCTGTGGTTTGAACTTTTCTGCAAATCTCTACTAGTATGGTGGTAGATGATCTCCTCTTTAGTTGGCTTTGGTGGATTATGTTGGTCGATTTAAGGTTACTGTGGTTGGTTGCTGAAATATCTTGGGTGTCTTTCAAATTATTTATTCACTTGCTTCCTTTTTTTTCAAATTATACTGTGCTATGGAATTTTTATTAGTACACATCGAGTGAACATGTTTCAGGCCATGGTTTGTCTTTCTGTGTTTTCTTGTCATGTCCAGTGTTATAGACCACTTTTCTTTACAATGGAGGAAGGCCATTGAGGCACCGACAAATGGCTAGTTCATCTGTTTATGTAACCTTCGCTCTAGATTTTACCTTAAACCTTATGCGAGGGATGAATCGCCTTTGTCAACACATAATGATTAGTCATCTTGTTTCTTTGTATACGAGGAGAATGATATGCTTCAAATTGTCAAATGAATTTATGAGCATGGTTTTTCACTATAATAATCTTGTAACTTTTTCTTTGACTTCTACAGCTTTGAAACATTTAAGCCTATGCATGACAAGTGGAAATCCAATATCGAGCAACACCTGAAAATTGCAGGGTTAAATGAAATCCCCTTTATATGTTTTTTTGTGTTGTAATCCACATATGTTATTTTTTCAGTAAGTGGGTGAATGATATTGCAGGGAAAATCAGTTAGCCCAGTGCCTCCTCAATGCGACCCTACATGGTGCACTTATTCTTGGTTAGAGAACCTCACTCATTCTTTAATAGCTACCAAAATTCTTTGAAGTAATCCCTTTCGATACTCATCATTGTAGAAATGCAAACCAAACTTCTCTAACCTGTCATTCATGAACACAGTCTAATGTGGTTGGGGACCTCAAGCTAGCTATATAGCTAGTTTGAGTTGTCGTCATAGCACTTGAAGTTGAATTTTATGCGCTTCAGCTGAAAGTGGGAATAGCATACATCAATTTTTGAAATGAGTGACGGACTGGATAATCTAGCTGGTTCTAGTCGGAACAGAACTCAATTCAGTCGTAGTAAGGCAAAGTCCATTTGGGTTTAAGACACGTCAAACAAGTTAGAAAACCAGTAATTTGGTGACATTTACAGCCTGGATTGAGCTTTTTTCTGGTAGTCAAAAAGTATAAAAAAGAGGCCACGCCATTGAGGGGACTCACTGGGCTTCCAAATGCTCATTCTCCAGCTGACTTCCCTCTCTAACCTCTCTTTCCAAGTTCATTTTTATTCTTTCATTTTTAGGAAAAGTAAAAGGATAAAATCTATCCAAAATCTGGTCACCCAAGACAATTAAGAATCGTCATAAAGATGTTGGAATACTGCTAGGTAGTCGAACCTGTCAAGAACAAACTAATGGTTTGATGGAAGGAAGTTCCAAGAAAATCTTGCTCGTCGTCATCCTATAAAAAATTACATCCTAGCATTCTCATCCCGACACAAGACTTTTGCAGTTTTACATCCTCTTAATCACGTTTCAAAAATGTAGCATGGCATCAAGTTCTTGGAGATTGTCAGTTAACGTTTTTTATATTAACATTTATGTTGTTTTAATTAACCGAATCCCAGTTTTTACTAAATCAAAAATGGCATTATGTTGCTTTTATGCTGTTAAAAAAATCATGTTGATTAGTGGTGTATTCTTGTAGTTGTACAGTGTAAAATAGTTTCCTACAGTGGAATGTGTGGCATCATGGTACGTGAAACTAAAGAAACATTTGGAATTATTACTCAAGATAACAAATTCCGAGGTAATGTTTTCATTTTTTATGGTGAATTAAGTTACAAATGTTTTAGATATTTTACTCCCTTTTTTGCGATAGTAAATAGTATGTGTCTTTCCTTTATTTATTTTCTTATTTGTTTGCATTTTCCTTGGTAATATTTTCTATATAACTATATGAGTAACTGTTTTAGACAAGCTTCAGGTTCCTCTTACATAACAATTTATTTACTTTCAAAGACTATTTGTACTTTTCAACGTTCCTCACACTTTTTACTTGACTCGTAGAAAAAAGATCGTTGATCTGAGATTGGATGATTTAAGAATTGTCTTTGATCTAGGAACATGGAACCATCGAAACTGCTGTTGTTTAAACAAGTTTAAGCTTTTACGCTAAATAGCAGATGATTTAAGTATGCACCATATCTCGTAGCTATATTACTATTTGTGCCTCCTTGTTTCTGGTGAATCCTCGTGTTTATTCTGTTTTAAGTTTAGCAGCTTAGCGTATGTATTCTTGTTTCTTTTTGCTGAAGCCGACCTAGAAGAGATTGTTGCTTCTTTTGACTGAGAACCTTTTTGTTTTGACATTCTCTATTCATATTGACAATACAAACTTACATGACAATGTCAAAATCTTATCATCTGTTCTTCTCCCCGACTTTGAGAGGGTGGGATAGGGGGCATTTTGATTTTGTGGCCTCAAAAAAAAAAAAAGGGGGGGATAAAAACTAACAGGATAAGTTGGTGGAATTCATTCACTGAATGCATTTAAGCAGTCTCTAGGGATTGATTGCAGTTTCTTGTCTTTGAATTATTAACAGCGCCTCAGATTGTTGAATAGACGAGATCTTTCACTGCCTGTGGGCCTATCTATCTTTCTGGGACAAGTGTGTATGGAACCTTTTTCTAATCTTTTCTTATTACTCACAGCTGTACCCAAGAAGCTTTCTGTTTTCATGTTCCAAGCTGATAGCTGGAAGATAACACTGGATGGAGATAATCTGACATCCAGAAACTTGGTCCCATGATCATATTTAGGTATGCTCCCTATCTATCAGAATTAGTGCGTCGTGGTTTATAGCTCCCTAGCTAACATTTTTAGGTTCTTGGTACAATTTTGAAGCAACATTTTCTATTACAGTTGTGCAGGTGGTTTTTTTTAAACCAAATGCAGTAGAAATTCTACCTGGTTCAAGCTTTAAAAACCTTAGAATAGATGTAATCAAGTTCAAATGAGATCGGGATTTTCAACTTGCAAGTAGCTGTAGGTGGGTTTTAGAAGGGGTAGTGACTGCTCAGCTCTCACAAAATGAACTAATCTAGAAAATGTAGTGCAAAGAGTAAGAAAGTCGTTTTCTAATTGCATGTTTGATAAGGTGAATTGGATAGTATTAAAATCTATTAATGAAGAAAAATAAGCAATGATATCGTCAATTACATTGTCCAGTCTCTCTCTAGGTCATGATTGATTATCACTGTTTTGGGTTGCGTGCACTTGTATATGAGCAATTAGTAAAATCTGAGTTCTTAGTTATATAATTATGAGCTAATGCTTCCCAATTGACAGAGGGTAAATGTTTTCTGTTCTTGCATCATGACCTAAGGATACAAGATCCTGATTGTGGGTTCTTGAAGGTTTTCCACAGGCAACGTGCATTCATTCGATCATGAAAGAGGAAGATGAGGGAGTAATTTTGTTTACAAGAACTTGTTCAGGAGAAACATCTTCATTGTAGGCGAGGTTACATACAATTCAGTTGTTTGTTCTTTGCAATTTGATTTGGAAGGCCTTGAAACTAAAGGTCGTTTCCTTCTATGTGGAACTGGAACCTGATTTTGGATTTGGCTAATGGATGAAGATCAGTCATTGTGAAGACTTTTAACGGATGAAGAGCAGTCATATATATATATATGCGTGCAAATATTGTGAATCTTTAGTGCGATCCCTTCAAAATAAGATTTTGTATGTGGAATGATGAAACCATGGAGATTTTTTCTCCTTGGGGATTCCTGAGTTGTATATTACAATTTATAAGTTAATCAATTAGCCAAAACTGCAAGAAGTGCTTTGGCCAATTTCTTTGATACCCGTCATATTTTTATTTACATGTATTACAGTCTTGAGCATAATTTTTTAATCATTCAGGTGTTTTAAGCTGAAAGAAGTGAGATGTTTCAAGTGAATCCAACCTGTGAGTGGAATCCCAGCGGAGCGATTAAAAGCGCCTTTGGAGCGAATTCCTTTTAAGTATACAAACCCAGTACCTTTGAAACAAGTTTTCTGAAGAGTTGCAATAATAAAAAAATGCTGCATTTTCGAAAGGTATATGGCTCAAATGCTTTGAAGGCACAAAGCAATCCAACAAGGCACCATAGATTGAGTTATGCGCCCAAAAACAAAGAAAGAGAAGACTAAGATTTCGTTGCCAATGAGAGAGAAACAAGTCGGATACCATCTGCATATGGAATGGCAAATATTGATGAACTTAAAGAACAGACTGAATCAGCATCCATAGGTCCACGTTAATCAAAACGAGATTATATGTTATATTAGCCCATTAAAGATCCAACTGTCCGTGCCATTTTTATAGAGCAGTTGATCAGACCATGAGAACTAGAGATTCAGTAACCAATGGTAATCTAAAATCAAACTCTTCAAGAAATGGCAATATACATATAAATTTATCGCGGATTCATTTGAGAACAGTACCTTTTCAGTATACAGCCCGAGTCAATTGAACAAGTTCAAACCCAAGCATCCATCTAGAACGACAAAGTCAACTAGTAAATCGGGTGTCTGAACATTTCTACTATGCAAAACAATCAAGGGCAGGCAATTTGGAACTTATTAGACCAGATTTAACACCCTATAACATCTGTTATGATAAGAACACATCCGACAAATTGCAAATTCCACGCTTATGTCTTACCATCACATAAAGATCAAACATTCTTTAAACAATGCTTTCTAAGCATCTATGAAAATTAAACATTATTCAGCTGCTCTCATCTATGTGCACATTATTCCAATATTAGTACAAACCTACGTAGTAAAACCTGGGTCTATGCCATAATAAGATAGATAGTAGGAAGTACCCCAATAGATCCTCGTCAACTTTCAAAGAGCATTGCCTTCTACCAATGTTATCTTCTCCTTCTTCTACTTTGAGGTTGTAGGAGCTTCAGCCAGTTTACGGTAATACTTAAGGCGGTAACTGACAAGTGTTGATCCAAAAATACCAAATAGCCCTCTATTGTTAAAAACAGTTTCAGCATCTGCTCGTCTCTTGAAGAACACTTTTGCACGCTTGCTTTTGCTCAATACTTCAGTCTCCGACTCGTTCAGAGGTCCATAACGGCTAAATATCTCATTCAGATTGATTATTGAAGGAATAGATTCTAAATTCGTAAAGGTAAGGATCAGTGCCATTGGAGAATACTCCTTGGGTTTCTCGTCCACGAGACAAGATGGATTATCCGTTTCCTTATCCAGAATGACATCTCTTTCTTGTTTATTGTCTGTGCTTGCTTGCATACCTACAACAGCTTCTGGTTCAGCCACAGAGGCATTCTTATTGGTAGGGATCTCGGGTTCAAATAGCACCCTATCTTCGGAGATGTTCTGAACAATTATGTCCTTCCAATACGAGTCTTCTGTACCTACCAATCCAAATGTATCTGTAGTCCCCGAGATGGACGTTTGTTCTTCCTCGTGCTTCTCAGCATGCCTTTTGTGCTTTCTTGCTTTGTTTTTTCCCAGGCAAATTGAATTCCGGAATTCACAAAGCAAACTAACTATTGAACTTAAGAAGTCATACCCTTTAGTTGGATCTATTGCAGCCAAGCACAACTTTGAGTAAATCTCATTTGGAGGACGGTGCTCAGCTGGAACCGTTCTCTCTCCGTGAGATATCCTGTAACCACGGGTAGGAATGCGAAGATCAGCAGTTGCCAGTTTTTCACCACTTCTAGCTGGGGCTTGATTAGAACTTCTATCGCCATACTTGAGAGCCCTGTGTATGGGTTCTCTGTCTCTAAAATACGTTTCAGTCTGTGAAGATGTCTTACCATGGGGACTTGACAACAAGAGACTCTTTCTTCTTTTCACTTTGGAATCACCTGATTGAAAATCAATAGTTTCACATTTTTTACCAGATAAAACCATCTTGTTTTTCTGACCATTTAGTAAAGTTGGGCTGCTAAAGGACATTGGGTCTGACACGCGTCTTTCCCTTTTGAGGGGGCGCTTATCACTACCTGAGAGGTACTTACTCTTCCAAGAAGAACCATCTCGAGGAATTGATTTTTCCATTTTAGATGGAACTAGATCGGTACCATTGGAACCTGGAAAAAATCCTTCCCATACTTCCAGAGAATGCCTTCCGCCACCATGTTCAGTAATATGAACATCATGATTGAACAATCCACCAAGCTCTTTGAGAAACGGAATCTCATTTTTATGCTTCCACTGATTGAAGGCCAGTAACTGAGCTTTTATCATCACAAACTCCAATCTATCAGTTCTAGAAAGCGGGGCTTCAGCCAATGACTTCAGGTGCTGAACAACTTCTGCAGGCAAAAACGAGACCGTACTGGAAAAACCATCCCTGCCATCTCTTCTACTCCATCCCTTTTTGATACCAACATTTGCAGCAACCTTGGATTCTATCTCGTCGTTCACTACCTGCGGTAAGCATGGACATGATAAGCCAAGCTGAACCCGTCTAGCAAACTCGTCTGAGGCACAATTCACAGCATGACAAAAAGCTTCAGTTTTGCTACGTTTCTCCATTTGAGAGAAGTACATCTGAAATGGCCTTACTTTTGATGCTTCATTCCATGCCAACTTCAGACCCCCAAAATATGATACCAAATAGCTGTCTTTCTTAAAATACTTCATCAATCCCTCAGAAGCTGCCGAAGGTTCACATATCTGCCCAGGCCACCATGGATGGCTCCTAATCTTACCCCACACTAGATCTGAAACGTAATATTCACCTTCATTTTCGGTTACGCATTCTTCTCTGCGTCTTTTAGGTATCAGCAAGCCAGGCTTAACATGAATCCCCACCACGTTTTCTGATGTTCCATTTGACACCTGTCCGTTACTAAGCACATTTTGCTTTGCATTTAGACCAGCTTCTTCTCCAAGAGATTCTGGATTCCCCTCATCGAAACCCTTGTTAACCACAGTTCCTTCCATACCAACTCCATTTGTAGACATTGACCCCCCAGTCACGCCCAACCGTCGATTCAGATCCTCGACCCTGTCACTATTGGTATCATTTCCAAAATTCTTAAAATCTTCCCCTTCCTTTTCCATATCAAAATTACCATCCAGCATTCTCCCAACCAATTCCATAGCTTCAGTAGACTCCCGGGCATTGTCACCAGAAAATATTTCTGTAACTTTATTTTCACTACCAGTTACCATGGAATCCCTCTCTGAGTTTAAACACAAACTTAATTCAGTAAAAAAATCATTTTCAAACTCCCTAGTTATCGAGAATTTCTCGAGCAGGGGGCGAAGCCACCTGGGTTCTAGTGCGGGATTTTGGTCCAGGTATTTCGCTGATTACACTAAAAGTGCGGCCAGTTCAAAATGCAAGGAGCATACCATAACAACCACATCGAATAGTTTAAGAGAGATATAGTCGAGAAAATCGCTGTTGCATAAAGAAGATCACAATCAAGAAACAACAATCTTGGAAAAAAATAAATTCGAACGAGCATTAAGAAGAGATTAGCAATGAGACCGGACGGAATCTTAGGAGAGTATCGGACCCTTTCCCTGCAACTGATGATAGCAACTCAGTAGGGTTAGATCGTGGTTGTGTTGATCATTTACAACAAATCAATTCGGGTGCGAAATCAACGTATAAAGCCAGATGTTTAAATCATATTCGTACCTTCCAAGTTACCAGGATGATGGTGATGAACAAGTCTCTTTT